TTTTTTTTTTTGGCTATTGAGTGGTGTGCTGTGCGTTGGTTATTATTGTTGGTGGATCTGTGGTGGTGGTGGTGGTGGTGGCGATTTTGTGGCGGGGGCGGCGACGTTGATGGTTATTGTTGGTGGTGTGTGACCAAGTATTTGGTTATCTGTGATCAAATATTTAATCTGTGACCTAAAAATTTTGACAATGTGACTGAAAAATAATCTGTTACCAACAAATGTGACTCAAAAATAATCTGTGACCAACTAATTTAAAAATATGTGACCTCAAAATAATCTGTGACGTACAAATTTTTGGATCTGTGACCTCAAAATAATCTGTGACCAAAAAATTTGACGATATGTGACCAATAAATAAATTCGTGACTTATAACTATGAATATGTGACCATTAATCATAAAAATGTGACTTTATTATCTTTATTTAATAAAAATAAAAATAAAACCTGATTTTTGAATTTTTAAACTATAAACCTGATTTTTGAATTTAGAAACTTAAACACCTTATTTTTTATTTTTTCCCATCTTTATATACAATTAATTACATAAGTAGGCCAACTAACAAATTAAAACCCAACAATTCATCGACAGGGTCCATAAAGAGAATACCTTGTAAAGACAATGTAAGTTTCATGAAATAGCAAAAGAAAAAGCTTCAATCTAAACCTTGAAAGACAGCCACAAGACGTGGTTGTTTTAAGTAGAATGCAAATAGACCAATCCATACCTCGTAATTCATTTTTGTCCATCTCTCGAGGAATCGAAATTTCTCCAATTGTCAATTGACTCGACCTAACGAACAAACCATTCCGCAAGTTGACTCGCTTCATCAAATGTGGGTTCAACTTACGAGCTGATGGAGAACTAGCTCGTGTGTGTGGCCAAGCTTGCACGATCTAGCTCGCCTAGTTCACGATCAAATGTGGGCTGAGACGATGAGCGATTTGCCCCTACTTGAAAACCCCACGTACTTATGAGATGTGGGTGAGCCCTTGAGGCTATGGAAGAGTCGACTCTAGAGAGAAGACTAGGAAGTATATGGTGCGATATGGTCTAGGATCCATAGTAATGAAGTACAACTAATTGCTATATGTAACATCTCTAATGCTAACGTGAATTGTACGAAAATTGTCACATAAACTAAAATAAATAACGTCTAGAAAAGTTCTTTTATAAATATAATATGTTTAGGACTATGTCTAGTTGATGTGGCATAAAAAAAGTAAATATTGTCAAATGACCATCTAAATAAGATGCTCTTACAAAGGGAGTGAATCATTGTAATTTAATATTTTTTTCTCTCTTTCTCTCTCATATTTTCCCTAATTTATTATTTGTCTCCACTATTAAATATATATTAGAGATAAAATTTGAATCATAGAAAAATCCAAGGGAGATAAACATAAACTAAATGATTTATTCATTTGACATTAATGTCACTTTCTTTAGATGCTACTTAAATTGCAGTTAATGGAATGCTTTGGAGGTGTTGATAAGTTGAGTATGATGTTTTGGGTGTGTTTGTAAATATTGGGGCTCATTGGTATTATGATTTAAAAGAAATTGTGAGTCCTGTGCAATAATTGTGCTTCATGCTTTATTAATTAAAAAAAAAAACCATAAAATTTAAGTGTGACAAAGCAGATCGATTCTTCAAAACTTTGTTTGTGCTCTTCAAAATTGACCTTGATTTTTAATTTCTACTAGCAACATTTGAAAAAACACCTATTGCCATTTAATGCAGGATAATGCTTAGAATGGAGGTGGACCAATGTGTGGGCTTGGAGTGATTCTCGACCTTGATTTCGTTGATGTAGATTGTATTCGTGCCATGAACCATAGCTTTGGGCGAAGTGGTGGTACCCTCCAACAAGTTAGTATCGGAAATAGAGGTTACATGTTTCAAGTCGATGTTGGAGTATTTTTGTATAGTAGGTGGACAATGCAAGACATGTTCACAACATATGGAGCCGAGGGAGTGGACTTGGGATGGATTACCAGACATGATTATGGGTAATATAGGTTGGATTGCATTTATGCCATGAATTGTAACTTTTAGGAAAAGTGATGACAATGTCCTACATCGAATAAAATTGAATTTTCAACTTATAGAATCAATGTAGAAAAGGGGTTTCTCATGTTGCACAAAAGATTGAAATAATATAAATTATATTAAAATGTAAAGAACAATGGCGAATTTGTAAATTGGGTCCCCCATCCCTGCCTCCCAGTCTGGTGTGCAGGTACATTAAGTTTGATATCATCGATCATATTGTTTGACTTGACAATATTTTGGACCATTAAGTTTAACAACACTTATTCAAATCAATGCTACAACTTTTTACACATAAAATATCATCCATAGTGTCATTCAAGAATACACAACTAGCATAATTCTAAATTAAATAACTACACTCTGAGACGAGAAATGATGTATTAATTAGCCATTCCAAATACTAAACATTGGATACATTTTATTTTAAAACTTAAATACTTATAATTAAAAATTTTAAGCTTAGCCAAACATGCTCTTTAAAAGAAACACCAAATCTCGAGTTAAATGTTTCATTTGTTACTGAATTTTGTACCACTCACAACTTACTCACCAAACTTCATCAATTGATCCATTAGCCACTAAACTTTGCATCGCTACACTAATTTACTCACCGAATGAATTCTGTCAATGCATCCGTATAGGTGGACAACGAAAAATCAACTCGGATAATTAGGGGCTGTTCTCTTTGTGTTTCAGTTTTGTGTTTTGAGTTTTGAATTCATTTTGTGTTTTGAGTTTTGAATGTCTGTTTTGAAATTTCTGAAAATGCGTTCTTTTTGCCATTCTGAAAAACTGTTTCTGAAAACATAAAAATGAAAAACGCGTTTACTTTGAAATTTTGAAATTTTTTGTAATAATATTTTATTCAAAAAAATCTGATTATTCAATAAATTTTAATGGTTTAATGTTAATATAATATTAAATAAAATATAAATTTTGTAGTTGGTGAAGCTTCAGATATTTTTTTCCATATATTAAAAAAAACAACCTAAATTTTTAGAGTACGTAGTTAAAATGTAACCCATGTTTAACAACCATTATTTCAAATCCATTTAATGTTCACTCTCATTTTCAACAAGAGTTTTAAAAGAATGATTGGCTAGATTGGTTTTAATTCAATTGCTTGATTGCAAAATAAAATTTCGACTTCGACTCCATTTGGCAATTCGTTTAGCCTCAAAGGAAATTATCATGATTGTGAATGGGCGAAGCATTGAAAGAAGCCACTAAAATTAACTCCCTGCTAAGAAACTGTAGCACTGCACTTGGAATTGGAAAGAGACAGCAAAGAACTGAAAAGAAAGATGACACCAAATTTCATGAACGGGGAGATTCCACAATAACCACACTGTAACTGAATTAATAAATGGTGTTTTTGTAGTTACAATACATCACTGATTTTACTGGAAGTAAATCAAAACTACTTGGAACAATTCCTACGAACTGATAAAACTGACCACCAATAAAACAATAAAATGATAGTGTCAGAGAGAGATCATGACAGTAAAAATGATCTTAGAACAAATAACCACCAAAATTCACGGTTTGAGAGCTCAAGCTAGAATTAGATTTCTTGCTGGTGGAAAAAGAGCAACAGCAGCCCTATCAGGATTTGAATATTTTCGCGAAACTGCCTTGAGCTT